ACACATGATACTAAGTAGCTACAAAACATTAAGGAGAAACTTCCTGACAGTGAGGACAATCAACCAGTGAAACAGCTTACCCCCATAAATTGTGGTTGGTCCATTGCTGGAAGTTTTTTTAAAAGAGACTGGACAATCACCTGTCTGAGATGGTATAGGTCAGTGGTGGCGAACCTTTTAGAGACCGAGTGCCCAAACTGCAACCCGAAACCCACTTATGCATCACCGGGTGCCAGGTGGGCATGGCCACCGAGTGGGCGTGGCCATGGTAGTCATGGCAGCATGGGTGGGTGTGGCCAGGGTGGGTGTGGCCACATCAATGTTGCTCCTGAGGAGGGATGCCTTTGGGGGGCGGGCAGGGTTGGGGGAGATCCAGGGGGTCTCTGGCAGGTGGGGCAGTTGGCAAGAGGCTCATCATCTTGTTTTGGCAATGAGCCAATTAGATCACAATAGGAGTCAGTTATTGATGTCATGTATTGAAGCTGAGAGGAGGACATTTGTCAGTGTGTTATGTGATCGCTATCAAGCTGGTTGGGGGATTTTTTCTTTCATTTAGTGAGCTTGTAAAACGTAATAAAATGGTGAAAAGAGTTGACTGGTTGCCCAGAAAGCGATGTAAAATAGTATTATTAAGTGAACAAGACTACAGTTATAAAGAAATTAGAAGAAACATTGGTGGAAACTTAACCAAAGGTGGCATTTCTACTGTACATTTTTCCCAAAAGGTTTTCACAATTTTGGCCACTACTGTAATTAAAAATGGTCAAAATTGTTGTCATTACACCTGTCCCTCAATGTTATTTTCCTTATATCAAATAATGAAAGTTCCTTGGGACTGAGGTCTATTAGGAAAGGAAGGAAGGAAGGAAGGAAGGAAGGAAAGAAGGAAGGAAGGAAGGAAGGAAGGAAGGAAGGAAGGAAGGAAGGAAGGAAGGAAGGAAGGAAGGAAGGAAGGAAGGGACTTGAACCTGAAAGTTTTGGTAGAACTTTTTACTCTTGAAATTAAGGATGCAGTTAAACTTTTTTAAAACAATTTTAAAAAGAAATGGCCAATTAATATTTTGTTTTAATTACTTTTTAAATTTAGTATTTATTGTATTATGTATTGTTTTAAATGGCTGTAAGCCGCCCTGAGTCCGTTGGGAGAAGGGCAGGGTAGAAATTTAAATAAAGTTAAAGTTAATAAAGTTTTAAAGTCATAGCTATAGAATGTAGCTAAGACAGTATCAGTTTAAAATATTTTGTTTTCTTAGCAGCGTTTGTACTGGGTTTTCTCCAACTTCATCCAATTGCTCAAGAACAGACATGCCAAGAATAGATTTTGTCTTCTTGCTCTAACATTGTGCTTACTCAATTTGGAGTACATTCTCTATTTGGAATGATAATCAAAATAAACAGAGTAGTAGTGAGGAATCTCTGGTCTGCAGGCTTAAACTGACCTATGAAAAGCAGCAGGGCTTTTTTTCTTGGAGAAAAGGTGGCGGAACTCAAACCTGGCCACGCCCTCATCAAACCCTAGGACCGCCCCTTTAGAGAACAGGAATGCAAGTAAAATTTGGGAGGGGCTATTTCCGGTGTGGGAGGGGCTATTTCCGGTGCGGCCGTCCCGGAAAAAGGTGCCGGAACGCGGTTCCGCCGCGTTCCGGCTGAAAAAAAGCCCTGAAAAGCAGCATGTCCAATCTGAATGGGGCCAAAATTGCTCTTCCACTCTCAAAAACCATCTCCCTAAATGGGAAAGCCAACCTACATGACAAATGGGATAAGAATATTCCTAGTAGAATGAAATAGTCTCATGGACCAATGCTCATCCCTTCAATTCTTGATCATCCTGCACTATCTTAGAGTCACTAAGGAGTGTTCTGGTCACTTTAGCTGAAATGCAACTGGAACCCTCCATGTCTCCGAGGAACTTATTTATTGGAGAAGATTTATTAAATAGAGTCAGCATAAGTGGCATTCTCCATGACATACATTGAACTTTCACACCTTCTTTGACTTGCATGTTTTGCACAAATACCAGTAGGATTTTAAATCCATTCTAAAATAATTAATCTGTACTGAATGTACATTTTTTTTCAAATCATTTCAAAGTTTTTGTTTCTTGATGAATTTTAATTAATTCATCAGGATAGGCACGATCTGATTAAAGACTCACCTGGCAATCATATGCATCCATTAATAGCTTTCCTTCATTGATTTAAACATATTAATTAAGAGAAGACCATAACCAGGAGCTGAGTTCCTTATCTATATGCACAGTTTAATAATAATCACACTGTGTGATTAGAATGATTATGGGACACTGTGAAAAATTCATTTGCTGCAAGTAAGCCAACAACTTTGCATCTGTGTTGAGAAACAATTATAGGGTTTAATTGGGAACCATGTAATTATGACAGCAGTTATTTCAGTGATTGATTCAGAAATTAAAGTGAGCTGGCAAATTAAGCACTAGTGTTTCCAGCATTAGAAAAATTTTTGGATCCAGGGGACATATATTGTATATAGATTTAAATGGGTGGTGTGGGGAAAATAAAATGAAATCCAGAGAATTGAGTTATGAAATGCTACAGAATACCCAACAGGTCCACTAGACCTGATAAAAACATGAAATTAGATAAAGAATATAAGAATCGAAGAGTTAAAATGAACAGCAACAGCCAGCTAGCAAGACCCTGATACCTTATGACTGCATAAAGACAAACCTTTGAAAGACTGGTCCAAGAATCATTTCTGAGCTACAGGCAACTGCTTATGGAATTCAATTGATGTAATATCCATTCAGTTTCGTTCATTTTGGGGGGAAAATGTATTTATCCAAAAGGCTTTTAGGTAAGCCTTTCTGAAATTCCCCTTCAGCCTCTGAACATGAATTACTTTTTCATGCATACGTAGATATCTATGCTTTCATTGTAAAAATAAGCCCTTCAGATTAAGCATTATTGATTGTTTAATTATTTATTTTACAGGGGAGTCAGGTCAGTTATGTTATACCAATTAAACTTCATATGTAGTCTAACAAATTGGCAAGGTAATTTAATTTAAATTTACTCTGGCTTCATTTCCATTTCCATTCGAACAGATCTTGTCAGACTATAAAATACAAAATACATTTTCAACCAGATCACATATAATATATGTTAAATATGTTTCATGTTCCTAGGGAGAAAATAGATGGCCTTCTCAGTGAGGTCTCTTCTTCATCTGCTGTTCACAAAAATAGGAGTACCAAATATTTCTTCATTACAACTCTTACTAAAACCATTTCTCCAGTAGTAGTAGACTTGAGATATAAGGAGGAATTCAAACGGAGGCAAACAATTTTTACCTTATGGCACCTTACCTTATGGTAATGGCAGGCAAAATTTTCACAACTCCTATCCCACATCCAAAAACTAATACAACAAGTAATAGCAACATTACTTGCTTTCACTAATATTTTCCTGGATTTAGGACATTTGGATAGAATAAGGACACTCCAAGAAAATAAAGAGAATTCACAGCATAAACACCATCCCTTCTGCTTAGGCTATAGTGCCATTTGGCAGATTTAGGGAAACCAATTTCCTCTTACAACAACTGGACTACCTGAAGGAAATAAACTGATCTAAACAGCCCAAATTGCCAATGGCTTGCCTTACTCCCTCAAAGTTTAATTCTTGTTTTCAAAATGAAAAAAAAAATCTAAAGTATGAATTTTTGCATGTAAAGTCAACATTGTCATTGGGTCTCAATATGTTTAAACTCTGCTTAAATGGAACTGAACAAAAATCCAAAGAAGCAGAAAATATAGACAATTTTAATTATTTATTTCTATTGAGTGATTGTATGGAATGTGGGTACAGAGACAGTTATTTTTAGATAACTTATTTTTTCACAACAACAAATAACTAACATGTTATTATTCATATAGAAAACATGATTAGCTGGATTTTTGTAGTAATTTAGATTGTTTGTTGTCATTGCCATATCTATCATAGAGTCAGCTCTTTATGACAATTTTCTATGACTAATGCAAATGCTAATGCTCATTTTCAAACACCTCTTCCACATAAGAAAAGAGTTGTTTACCCAAAATTTTTGGATTGCCATTCTATAAAAAAAATTCAACCAGAAGGCCAAGGCAAATGTAACTTTCAGTATGGGACCAGAGTCTTCAGTTCTATATCTACAGAGTATTTAAGAAAAGAGTATCATACCTGGATGTTAACAAAATCTGACGAAGTAAAAAATACAGTCAAGTTTAATTATTTCTATCCAGTGGTTGTGCGGAATATTGTTGCCCAGACACAGGGCAGACTTGATTTTAGATAACATATTTTTTTCATGAGAAGAAATGGCTAAACCACCTGAAGTATTATTATTATTCCTGTACAAAATATTATTATCTATGGAACATAATTTATTTTGACATTTGTAAATAGTTGCGATACATTACCTACACGATACATTTTCTCTTTATCAGGATAAGGGAGACAGATCATGTTTTAAAATAACAGTGTTATCATTATTACATTATCATTCTCAAAGTAGTGGTATTAACATCCCTTTCTTGCTTTCCACTTGCCTTTTGAAGTATAATATGTTCTGATTTAGATGTCGGAAATATATTACAAGCAAATTTATTACACTGATAGCATGGGTTGTAAAGTATAGAGTATTTCCAGGAACCTTTATAGTATAGAAGAAAAGAATGTAGTCAGATTCTGCTATTTAAATGTATAGTTTGGATGACAGGAATAAGTTGTAATTACTTTTTGAAGACATTTGGTTGTTTGCATAAAATGCTCCATTCAAAGGAAGGCTTTTCAAACTGTAAAATTTACAGTGAAATTTACAAGACGGGTATAAAAATTAGTCTGCTGTAAAATATGATACAATATTTTAATATTTTAACTGTGCTTTTCATTGTTGCAGGTATGTTACAGCAACTACATAAAAATGAAACCCGAATAGCCTCTGTAAATTATAAGTATAATTTGATTTTTTTCCCCTCAAAGGTGGAAGCAAAATGGCACAGATATTGATCCTAGCATGAGTAATGACTACAGGCTGGTTGGCAGCAGCTTGGCAATAAATAATCCACATAAGAAACAGGATATTGGAACATACTAGTGTTTGGTCACAAATTCATTTGGAATGATTCTGAACAGGAAAGCAAGGCTTCAGTTTGCATGTAAGTTTGGGGGGGGGCAGCGTATTTGATGTTCACATCCCTTTTATGCAATTATTTTGTGTACCGAAAACAATTTACTAGGCAATTAAAATAGCAATAAAATTTGCCACAAATTGGATGAACTTGTTCATGTTATCTTTGTCATGCTCAGTTCCAAGTTCTTTTTATCTAGAAAAAGCATCAGTGAAAGAGATATTCAGGGCTTTGCAATAATTATCCACAGATGACATAAAGGTCAAGAAAGATGAACACAAATTACTTTTTGGTTAATAGAGTTGTTGTGACAACCCCTCCCCACCCTTTTTTTTTGGGGGGGGGGGGGTAATAGATGTTTTTTTTTTCCATGTCCAGATTGCTATTTGTAAAATATCTATTCTAAGCTAAGCAACAGGTTGGAAAATACAGTAATCACAAAAGAATAATGATGTCCAGCATAGTCACATAAATGTCACCTTCTGTAATTACCTTCCTGACATTTAACCACATTAACACTTCCTCACCTCTGCTTTGTAATTGGCATAGCATTGTGGTTTGCAGCTAAAATATGCAGTTGTCCTTTAAGCATAGATATAGCAATGCCTGGGAGTAAGTGTGTGCATATGTGCAAGGCTTTGTGGACTAAAATTGGTAATAAGATCACTTATTTTTATGGTTTTTTCCCATTGTATTACCACCTATCATTAATTATTCAAATGATAAGCACATTCTGATAAACACAACGTGGACGTATTTTAACCAGAGATCATGGTACATAAAAACTTGGTTATATTCCCTGCTTTAATGAAGTGGAGAAAATTTTACTTCAAAATGGTGACTATTTGTTCAGAACCCCTGGCAACATTGCCCACCTTCTTTTAGCACAAATACTGTACCTTTAAAAAGATAAAATGGCTTAGCCACACACAGCTCTGTATACTAATTCTAACAGTACTAACAGAGATAGGGGAGTCCAGAAGAAGGGATATTAAAATTAGCACATTCTGTCTCAATTGCTTCACAAGTAATTTGGACTTTGTAATTTCTTTTCTCAAGGAGAGTGACCTTGAGGTTAGAGACAAAGTGTTCAGAGGAACTGATCTTCTCTCCTCCACTGATTTTTTGGAAGTTGTCTTTTGGTGTGTTATACTTATGCTACAAGCAGTGAACTGAGATGGAAGCTATAGAGAAAAGAAAATGTGATGTCTGTTAGTACCCAGTTACAATTCATTAGAAGATTTAACACCATTTTCATGCATTAAACAAAGACCAAAGTTCCTAATTATACTACACATGTTAACCAGGTCTTCAAAGCAAGAATGTCTGAATCACACCTAACTACTGCTGTATTAAAAATCACTAGGAGCAATTCTCACTGTTTTTCTCATCTTGTTTAACCCTTTCCTCCCTGATCCCAGCTTTCCTCCCACCAAACATTAGCTGTTTATATAAAATGTTTCTTTTTCTGATTATATCCTGAGCATCTGATGAAGAGGACTATTATCTGCAGAAGCTTGTGCAATAATATTTTGATTAGTTTTAAGGTGTGTTGGGACTCTTTACTGCTCTTGGTGGAAAAGTCTAAAGCAGCTAACTTTCTGAAAACTGTAACACAAAAATTGTTAAGGGAACTAGGGAAAGCTAAGTAAATAATATGTCTCTTTAGATGGTTGACTTGACCAAGGATTTTCCAAGAATCTCAAAACAATACTCACATTGATTATCTACCATATCAATGGACTCAAAACAAGCAGGTCATATGAGGTGGGAATTCACCCACATCCTAGAACTGAGCAGCTATAGAACAGTGAAATGATAGAAACAACTCACTTAGAATTTTGAAAGCACATTGTGAGCATTGTCGTAAAGGTGCCATCGTGATTAATATGGCTACTCACAAAATAGTCACTTACTCAAAGGCAACAACCTAAAGTGCTCCTTGCTACTTTCTCAGCCCACCTCGACATCCCAAAATGCTCCATTCCACACAACAGTCTTAACCTTCCTTCCTACCCTGGGCCAATAGGCAAACTACCAAACAAAATCTAAGTTTCAGGGAAATCATTAGGTTTCAAGCATTATCAATTTTATTTTCTTGAGTATACTATAGCCATTCTGAGAGGAGGCAGAGTCAGAAACCCAGATCAAATAGAATTAACTCCAGATCACATCTCCTTGTATTTTTCCTAGATAACTAAGCAGGGCCATATTCAAAAACAACTTGAGCTAATTTGTGTTTTTTTCCTCCATACCATTTTTTAAATTCTCATCCCTATAGGGGCTTCTTGCTACACTAAGACAGAAATGATTTTAATTCTCATGAATAAAACATAGTTTTAAAACCAGTCTAATGTCACTATTTCTGTCACCAATGAAACATTATCAATCATGTTCTGTTTCTATTATAAATGTCCCTGTCCTGCAAAGGTCAGACAAAAGAAAGTATGTAGAAGATGAGATGATGCGTAGATTATTTTTTTTGTACCTGTGTAAAGGCAATCATTTCTGCTTATGTCTGCTATGCTTTTGAGTATTTTAATTGGACTCTAAAATAAGAGAATGTTGACAACTAAGTAGAATAAGAACTATTAGAGAACAGTCAAATTGGATGGAATGTTATAGGTCAGCTAGCCCAGCCCTTGTCTGATAGATCACTGTCTACTCCTCCAAAAGTCCTTCTTGAATTTAAACATTTTTTAAAAAGTCATTATAAGGTATCACAACCTCCCATTGGACAATGGCTCAGCTTCTGTGCTCTCCCACACTTCTGTTCCAGGAAAGTGATTGCCAATTGCTTTTCTTCCTCTGAATTTTCCTCAATGCATGTGTACAAAGTTAAAGCATAAAATGCACTTATATGAAGGCGGTAGGAAGAGCTAAAAAAAACCCCAACACTTCACCTCCCACTTCTGTTTACTCTATTTGTTTATTGCTGAATTTATAAAGCTGCACAAATCAACAATGTGGTGTGAAACATACACCAAACTCCAACACCCTCCATACAAACATAATGTCAAATCATACAGAAAATGTAAATATGAAATATAGAATATAAAATAGTGACCCATCACCACAATAAAAGCATACAAAAGGGGACTCAATTCAACTGACTTTGTTGACATTTTTCACCTCATTTAGCTAATATTTGAGAGGGAAAGCATCTGAGGTACATTGATAATATGAGAGTTTAGGAGCTTTTCTATTTTAAATGGGGTGAAACTCCATTTCTAGTATGGAGGGGTTCCTGGGGTCACCTTTGTTATGTAATGAGCATTACATTCCTCATTACAATTCAGATAATTATACTCATCAAAAAAGATCCTGTTGCATGTGTCATGACTGACAAACATAATTTTGTAGTTGCTTGTGGACAGGACTTCTCAGTGGTGGCACATGATCTCTGGAATGTTTTCAATACTGAAATCCCTAAGAGCTTAGTATTATGGCAGTCTTCTCTTTATAAAGGGTTTTATTTCATTTTCATTTTTGCCCTTCCAAACTTTTAAATACATATTTTGTATAGTTTAAATTTATCTTATTTTATATTTTAAGTGTTAAATTTATATTGTAAACTTCTTCAAAAAGAACTACGCAGAAAGCTGTGTAGAAAATCACAATCGTCCTTTTTCCATTTTTGCTTTCCCTACATGGAGATAGCAGGGACTGAACATTGGAATTTCTGAATGGCAAGCATGACATCTATATTTGGTTACAGTCAATTAAGGCAAAAGCCCCCTAACTTATATTTCTATTCTATTTCTCTGTAAGTGTAATGTTTTGCTACTCTTGCAATTTTTTTTGATTGCACCATTTTTTTTTCCTATATAGGAATTTCAGCATAATCTGAAAAGGTTGCCTTAGATAAAATTGAGAAGTAACTATATTCTCACTTGGTACAGTATATTGGAGGGAATAGTTCTTAAAAGGTGCCAGATATGCAGTTAAAGGCTTCAGGTAGCAGGTAATGGAAAAGAATTCCCAGAATCATGTTACGTTCAATTCTGCTTTCTTCACGAAAAGTTTCTCCTAAACGAGCTTAACTAACAATCTGCATTAATGTTTTATACTTGGCCATCACAGATTTAATTTCTCCACTGCCACTCCGCATTATTGCTTGCAGGCAAGCTCACTGCCATAATTCACACAGCTCAATAGCTTGGCTCGGTTGTAGAAAACTAGTTGCAGGAATGTCAATTTCTGTGGTGGCTATAATGTGTTGTTCTCCAAGTTGCCAAGTGGTGATAAATCTGTATTCAGGAGTGCATTCAGGGTGAGTATCTAATCAATAAATGTGGTTATTTGTTTTCTTTCCCAATTAACTGGGTTAGGAATAGATTTCTCTTTCAAAAACACAGACCCAGAGAAAAAGGGAAGTTTCAAGCATTAAATGAAAATGTTTAATACTGTACTGTACAAAATACATAGAACGTCAACTGCATGTTGATAAATGCTTGGACTTATTCTGACATTCATAGTGTCAGATGATGTTGCAGTGGTGCTCAGATATGCTGCAAAATGGTCTCTCCACACTATTTCAATAACATTAATTTGGGAAGAATCTAATATGTAGCTCCAATGTATACCAGCTTTGAAGAGTAATAGTGTACAATACAGCAAACATTAGCTTAGAAAAAGAACCTCATCTTAATTACTTTCGTATATCAATATCCGACTGGTGGAAAGAGTCATACTACAACATCTCTCATGAAATAACAATAACATTAGAACAGAATAGTACTTTATCTTTGTACTCAGATACTGGGATTTGATTTCTCTTTTATGCTTTGCTATCTTTTGATATCCTTACTGCTTCAGTGATATTTTTCTTTCTCTTCTATGCCATCTTGACACTTTCTATGTGATATATTTTCCTCGTTATTTTTGTAAAAAATGGTATTTCAATATAGAATCGATATTTAATGATATTGATATAGATTTAATATTTGGCCCTCATGACTGGCAATCAGCCAAAGCCAGTTGCCCTATTTTTGTTGTGGAATGTAGTCCAGAGTCACAGAAGGGAG